GAAAAAGAGCAAAGAATAAAAGAGAGGCCGTTGTTGTGCCTCTCCATATATCCAAGCTTTGCCCACATCTTGAACACGAGTGCAGTTCTGATCCCTGTCAGAAAGAATACGGTAGATAGAAAAGAGCTGGAATAGAATCAAAGAAAAACAGTGATCAAAGATGTGATACATCTTCCATTGGAGATTGCTATGTAAACTAGGACTGCAGTCTGGAAAAGAGAAGGTTGACTGAAATTTGATTGATGTTACAAAGTCTGTGACACAGAGAGGTTAAAATAGGTTTGACACCCAGACACACACTCCCAATACAGTCTCTAAGGTATATTAATAGATAAAGGCCCAGTTCCAAAGAAACAAAAAGAGTTTGCTCTTGGCACAGAGGGAAGGAGATGCCTGAAGCTACTTTCTGAAGGATGTGTGGCTGAGAGCAGCTTATCCCCATGAGGGGAGGTTGAGCAAGTTTGTGGAAGAGAATTTCACTGAAGCTTACTAAGTTCAGGCTGAGAAAACACATCTGTCTCAGGAAGTGACGAGATGGAAGAGAGTTGGATTCTGTGAGAATCTTAAAGTGGAAGGATTTATATGTTTGCTGTGTTCTTAGTCATCCTGAGACATCTGCTCGTGGCCACTGTTGGATACAGGGTGCCAAGCCTTGGTTCAGTATATTCTAGTATGTCCTTATGTTTCTTAAAGGGAGTTTTTGAGGCTGATGTTACATTACACTAAAGATTTTAGCATACAAAGGAAAAACCTAACAAGCAATTTTCTAGTGAGAAGAGTAAAAAAGGCCAGGTAATCACTAGATGTCTGTGAGCAAATGGTGTGATATATGCCTATAAAGAAAGCACAAATGATCCTAGAAAGCTTCAAGTACTTCAAATAGAGCTGGGAATCATTCATGTAATTAATTAAGCCTATCCTAAAATATTATCTACCACTCCAGTTGTCTGTATTCACATACCAGAAGAGGCTGCTAGGATAGTTACAGAAACTGAGTGTTCTACAAAAAGCATGGGCTTTAATTGGATTATACACACGTGGCTGCCATTACTGTGTATAATGCATCGTGGACAGAGTGCCAGCTAGGGAAAAAACCTAATCAAGCAAAGAATAATAACAAGAATGAGTGTGTATAAACTAGCCATGGTGAGTTTGGGGAGAAGAGTGGGGGAATCTCTCTTGCCATTTGAGCAGCCCAGTTTTGCAGGAATCTTCAAGAAGTGCCATGGGGTTTGAAATAGTACAAATTTTAGGGGTAAAAAGATGCGAGTGTTGTCAATAGTTAAAGTTCTGTAGATAAACCAGGCTTGTAGAAGTCCAGAAAAGAGGTGCAGAGCTCTGTGTGTTCCTTGGAGTTAGCTGCTCCAGGCCTCCAGCTGCTCCGTGCAGCCTGCTGCGAGGCTCTGCTGTCTGTGTTGGCTCAGCCACATTTTGTATTGTTATTTAGCCTGTGTTCCTGTCACTTCCTGACCATAGCTTTCTGCTCCTTCAGATAGCAATTTGGATCTCATCCATCCTTCTGTTTTCTGATCATGACCATCTTGTGAGGTGCAAACACTTGCTGTTTAGCCAAAAGAAAGGAAAAAAAAAAAAAAAGACAGGTTAAGGTGTAATGCAGATTTTGGGGCATTTGTTTACAAGATCAGAAAATAGAAATAGTGACAGCTGTTAAAATCTTGAAAAAAACTGTTTGTAGTGGTTCCTTACCAGATAAATATATTCAACCTTTCCCAGTTTTGCCTTATGTTCTTTTTTTTTCCAAGCTGTTTTATTAGTAAGACTAACAGGATGATGACAGATTGGTTTTGGAAAAAGCCATGTGTGAAAGTATCTAAAAAAATGACCCCTGGTAAAATTCCACTAAATCTATTTTAATGTCTCAGAACAAAACTGTGCAGCTCAATGTCACCAACAATTAAAAATTTCCTGTGCTAGTACATTTATTTACTTCATCCATGCATTGCAAGAAAGGTAAACTATATTTCTGTTGTAGAGACAAATGAGCTGAAATACCTGATTAACGCATTTGAAATCATGCAGGAAAGTTTTCTGAAGTCACATTTGTCTGTGAATTCAAGCAAACACAGTCAGGACACCAATAGAATGTGTGCTTATTCTCTGAACAGAATAGGGGACTTTTTTACTAGTTCGTGGGTTTTTGGTGATTTGGGTATTTTTTTCGTTTGGTTTGGGATTTTTTTTGTCTGAAGTGAGGGAAAAAGGTCTTTTACTTGTCTATGGTTCATATGAAATCATAAATTTATGAGCTGTGTAAGTTATATTTTTAGTTTGTGGGTTTTTGGAAAATTCTGTGTAGCTGACTTTCTAATATGAGCTTAAAAATTTAAGTGTAGCTTTGCAGTATCACAGGTGAAATGGCCAGAATTTGAAAGGTAAGTTCAAACCCACACTAATTCTGGTAGTGGTTTGTTTTTCTGCAAAACCAGATTTCTCTGAATAGATGAGCCCTTGCACATCAGAAGAGGGAGAGAGGGGCACTACGCTGCTGGAACAGGTTCCAGGGGTGAGATCAGGGTGGTTGTTACTGTGCCAGCCTGCAAGCAGGGGTGTGCAGGTGCTGGTCACTGTCCACCCACAGGCCAGGTGTTAACAAGCTCACCTTGGTGCATCAAGTTAGGGTACAGAACTGAAGGTGGTTCTCCAGTGCTTAAATTTCAAATCCTTTTGTGTCTTTGAAATCAGTTTATATATTTTATGAGTATGGTAAAGGTAGAAATGTGCATTTGAGCTGCACTTGGCCTCTTAAGCTGATTGCTTTTTCAGTTGTAAACTGGTAGTTTCATTCAGAAGCTTTTTAGAATTGTTGTTAATAATATTGAGTGATAATACTGAACAGACGGAATAATGCCATGTTATTTAGGATTCTATAAATAATCAGCAGCTTGAGTAATAATTATCATGGTTATGTGTATTGTATGCTAATTATTACAGTTGGTTTATTCTTACTGGTGCATTTGGTACAGCTGAAAGTTTTGATTATGCAGAGCTTTTAGAGGTAGGTACTTGGGCCCTCTACTGATGATTCTGTGAATAGGAAAATCTGCCCTGCAATATTAAAATACTGGCATAATGGGCCTTTTGGAAAAGGGAACATTAATGTAAACAGAGACTAGAACTACAGCCTGTTCTGTTTAAACAGAATTACCCCCCCTCACTGTTTTTAGAAATATTTAAAAAACCTCAACCCTAAGCCTAAAATCATAGTTGCATTAAAAACAAACTACCCTGTTTTGAGATATGTAAAATAAAACCCATTAAAAGATCAAGCTGGCGAAAAGGCCCCTATCCCAATGCCTTTTTTTTGCCTTATGTTTTAACACAACCTATTTGCAATCAATTGCATTTAGTCAGGCTGGAACCATAACAAAGTTTAACATAAGGACAGGTTGCTGATAGTAACACTTGTCAAATCTTCTCTGAAGCTTTGAGAGTCAATTGAGGAGGTATTTTACAGTCAGGCAATCAGGCAATCTGACTACAAGTGTTGTTGATCTGTTTAATTCTGAGAAGCTGCTCGAAAGTATCAAGGCTCTGAGCACTGCTTGACATCACTTTCTCCCTCATTTGTGAGTATGTCAGAGAATATTTTGTGATGTTTTTCCAAGTGTGTGATTATAACATGAGTTATTAAATCTAGATCTGTTTCTTAGGAATTTATCAGTATCACCATATCTTCTTGTACACCTCTGATTTCTGTGTTGCGATATTTTAGTCAGACAATGGGGTTACTGCACCACACTTGCAGCTTTTTAAACCCTGGCTAATAAATCATGTCAGCTTTTCATTACTTAATGTGTATTTACAGTGCTTTTAAAATCTGAAATGTCAAGCAAACATCCCATCTGAACTTTCTGAGGTGAGCCAGTACAGGAATGTTGCAGAACACTGTGATGAGAGATATGATACGGAGAGGGAGGAGTTATGAGATGAGCAGAATCAGGATGGGCTTTATGCATCTGAAGTCCATACTACTGCTATTCCTATTACCAATACTCGTAAAAGGAAAAAAAATAAGCAGCCCTCATGTAAATGTGTATCTGCACTAGCACAACACTAGTGCAACATTTACTGCTTCATCAGCTTCCCTCCTGAGTTCTGGTCCTCAGAACTCGGCCTCCTTACAGCTTCCTGCATCCTGCCTGAACCTTATTTTTCCACTTAAAAAGTGTGACCTCATCCAAACCAGGTTTGGGAGTGGTCCCTGGTGCATGCTGTCCCCCAAACTCTGGCAAGGTAATTCTTGGCCTGATCCACAAATAGGTTGATGAGAGCTGGACAAATAGCCAAGTGAGAGAGCCTTGGCCAGAGGCTTGACACTGCCAGGCTGTGGACCTTTGCTGCTGTAAAGTGTAGCTGTGGAGTCACTGAGCTGCTTCTTTGGGGTTTCCCAGATTCTGGTTGTTCTTTTCCATGATGTCATGGACTGATTGTTGCAACCTGAATTTGGCAGCCCTTGTCAGACCTGTCTCATAGTAAAGCAGGGACCTGAATTTGGCAGCCCTTGTCAGATCTGTCTCATAGTAAAGCAGGGATAAAGGTGCTTGGCCAGAAAATTCAGTAGCAGAGAAATTATTTTTAAAAAGTCATTAACTTCTAAATAGCAGAGTCCTGCTGTGCCTTGATACTCACTGATAAATGAATGCAGCATGTGTGTCAAAATAAGAGCACATGAGAGCTAGTGAGACAGGAGGAAAGCAGAAATGTGTGTATGATAATTAGGGCTGCACGACTCAGTACACTGAAGGCACTTGGACCCCAGTGCATTCCAGAGCTGGGGAGATCCCAGACTGAAGGTTTTTCTTACATTTCTCTCAGTAAAGAAACCAGTGAAAGTGAACTTTACAAAGTCTTTTTGCATTATTGCTGAGTGTATCCATAACAGAAGAACTTACAATTTTGAGTTCACTGCTCTTTAGCTCTTTTCCTTTTCACTTCTTCTTCTTTTCTTTTCTTGTTTTCCCTTAATTTTATTTCTTTAGATCTAACTGGCTAAAACCGTGCTGTGGGAGACGAGCAGCTGTGTGGCAGGTATTTTTGCTCAGTGCAAGTCTCAACAGTTTCCTGGTAGCCTGTGTAGTATTGGTGGTGATTCTTCTGACTCTGGAACTCCTAATAGATATAAAGCTTCTCCAGTGTGAGTAGGAGGATTTTTTTTTTCTTTTTCTTTTTTTTTTTAATTTTTTTTTTTTTTTTTGATGAAATAAAGGCTTTACTTTGCTGGGTGGTTTTTGAAGGGGAAGGATGTTGGGAATGGTTTTTCCCTACCATTTAAATGATTACTAGGCTAGGTAAGAAATGTGTTCTTGTGGAATCCTGGTATAGTGAAGTCAGTCTCTTCTTTATTATTCTGACCAAAGCTAGTTCAAATAATAATTTGATTACAGGACAAATTTTCAAAGGATACAAGCAGAGTGTACATGCAGAGATTCACATGCATTGTCATTAGTACTGGGAAGGCTCTGTCCTTTATAGACATGTTACATATGCACAGGAGAAAAATCTGTGCATCATTAATCTCTGATAACCATCACATGTGGATAGACAAAAGTGATGAACATACAAAAATAAATAGGGTACTTGGTGTTAACCTCTTACAAATTACTTCCTCTCAAAATTACAGCCTTCTATCTTGTAATGCCCTGAAATGAGACAGATTTTCATTCTATTTTGCTAACACACTGTGATCATGGCTTAAATGGAGTTTGCTTTATTTGAATTCACTCTACACAGGTTCCACAATGGAAATTTTAATGCTGCTGATTTGCTTCTTAATTCATCTTTTTTCCCCTACTCTTCCTCCATTGCACCTCTTTTTTTTTTTTCCCTTTTTTTTTCCTCTTTTTCTTTTATGACACGAAGTTGGCATGACCACAGACACCACCAACACTTTCCCCTAAGCTAAATGTTGAGGACAGCCTCTAGTATCTCCCTGCAATCTCAGATGTGTTGAAATGGCAGCTGGGGTTCAGGCAATCCTATAAATGCAAGAGTACATAGCACAAAAGAGTGCCAGGTGTCTCCTGTGGCAGCTTTAAACTGAGTAAACCAAATTTTTATTCTGTTGAAGTCCTTCTATTGTTGCATTTTGTCAGTTGATCACAGTGGCATAAAGATTCAGGTGTTGCAGTTGTATTAAGATGACTTTAAGGGACATCATTGATAATTAACAGCCATTTCTTAAACTCTGTGAGATGAATGTGAATGACTGTGTGTCATTCCATGCTGTTGCTCCCCATTTCCACCCATCTGTCCATACTGCACACACTGTTCAGGGCATGGCCACTCCCTTACAGCTGTTACTTTCTTTGCTCTCTGGTCACTCACAATTTTTGCATGAGGAAGCCCGGGATTTGGATAAGTCTGCCACTTTCAAAAAAGTCAGGAATGCGAATTGTGGGTATGAGGCCTTAAGGAAGAAGCTTTCCACAATACCTGTTGAGGTGTCACATCTTTCTGTTTATGTAGAGAATTTTCACTTCCTGTAGAGACAAAGGGTTTTAAAGACTGTTGATTTCTCTGAGTTCTAACAGTTTTGGTTACTCTTGTCTGGAAGCAGACGTTTTCTCACCATTTATTTTCTGAAGAACCTTCTAAAGAAAGCTTTACTTTAGGAGCCATTGCTTCCCTGTGTGTCTGGTCCATATGACACTGCTGAAAGCTCTTGCAGCTTACACCTTGTGCATGACCTGCGGGTGTTGGTTTGAGCCAAATGACTTCACTGGTCAGAGGTGGCCTCTGACACCAGGATGGATTTGCTCAGGAGCATTCCACTTGTGTTACTACTTTACATTTTAAATGATATATCTTGCCATGAAGTTTTTGCCTTCGCAAGTTTGAATACCTCCTATCTTGTTTTAAAGACAGATAAAAGCTGTCTCGGTGAGGCTGATCTAAGTATTCCAGTTGTGCCTTGTAAATCTGTGTCATTTACACTGAGCTTCTGTAAAGCCATTAGCCCATAACTATATTTCTCAAAATTATAATTACAGTTTAAAAGGATTCTTTATTCTTTATAAAACCAAGCAGTGCATTAGGATACCTCACAGCACGTTACTGACAGTTCTGTCCATAATAATAACTGCTAGTCCATGCTATAGACTGTAATTAGTTAGGAAGCCTCCCTTTATTAAAAGAAATCCAAACCAACCAACAGGAAAAAAAAACACAACAAAAGAAACCTGATGTTTTGCTTTGGCTGTGACATTTTCAGGGTACAATTTTTCTCTCCTGCTTTCGGTGTAGTCTTTGGTTGTATGATGCATTTCTTCCATGCACAAAACTGTTGGTTTCATAGGTCGACACCACATTTACAAACTCTAGGACACACACATGAAAAAGTCAGAGACCTTTTAGGGTATTTTAACACAAAATGTATTCATACCAGAATTAGAAACCCCAGAAAGCAGGGGACATATAATACGTATTTTGTTTTAGATCTCTGTTCTCTAATCAAGTTTTTTAGGTCTGTCTTCAAAGTTCCTCACATGCAATAACAAAATAGCATCGCAATACCTTGTGATGTTCTGCAAAAGCAGATATAGATGAGTATTAACTTTGAACTCACTAAAAAAAGAAAAAAAAATGAAATGTTGTGGCAGGTTCAAATGCCTCAGAAATACAGACCATGCTACCCCTTCCTCATCTTCAGCAGTTTTGGGGAAAAGTAGCTCAGGAGATGATGTTAGCACTGCCCTCGCTGTGCAGCCAGCTGCAGCAGGTGCATGTGCAGAAGGCAGCAGCCCTTCCTGAGCAGCGGGCCGAGCCCTGGCTGAGCCCTGGCCGAGCCCTGCGGAGCCGTGCGCGGGAAACGTCCGGTGCTGCAGCAGTGCCTCAGCTCCGCGGGGTCAGCAGCACCACACACATCCCTGCAGTGAACATCTGCCAGGAAATCAGGAACAACGTCTCCTGAGAGCAAGTGCTGCTGCTCCGAGCTCCTGGAGTGCTCGCTCAGGGTTTGTCAGGAGGAGTTTTCATCCCAAATTCGTGGTTGCTGAAGCTCTTTGTGTCACCAGGTGGCAGCTGGAGCCTTGTATGTCGGTCGAGCCCTGTTGAAAAAACTGCATCCCAAGGGTTTCTCCTTCTTCAGGCTGCCCAGGAGAGATAGTGCTTTAGGAAACTTTATTATATATTGTATTTTGCCGATTTGTTTCACCTTTAAGTAGTTCCTCTGCTGCAGTGCAGCAAATGCTCTCAACGAGCTCCAAAAGAGCTTCAGCAGTGGGAGTTCCAGTGGCAGGGCATATTCAGTTTTATTTGTATCCTGAGTTCTTCCTACATCATTTTCCTCTCCTTCCCATATCAATCGATTCCGATTTTAAAATAAAATTCTTCATTTAGTGTGTACCCTGTACGTTCTTGAGAAATTATTAAGTCTGCCACAGCCCTGCACCTCTATGTACACAGCCACTGCTTCCCTCACACAGTCATTCCCTGACACTGCAAGACTGCACAGACTGCTCTGGTCCATCTGCTGTGGAGATAATAGACTCATAAATACTCTGCAGGAAGGAGAGAATGTTTACTCTTCATTCTCCTAGTCCAAACTTGGAGCATGTGGGAGTAGGAATCACTAGCAATTCCGTTAGTGGACCCTGTCAACTTTCTGCATTTTTCTGTCAGCATGAAATGTATTTTGAAGCCCATTTTGAGCATTAATTTTTAAGCACCTGCTCCAGATAAATACTGATCATCTGAGATGAGTTGTCAAAGACTGAACACAAGGAATAATGTGGGGATAGTAGACCATTCTGTTTCCTTACTGAGTCCTAGGTCTGGATTTTTAGGTACACAGGAATTAGTCACACATCTCATACCAAAACAGCGTTGGGGTGAGAACATGAAGCAGTGGCAGAGCATCAAAGACCTGAGCTGTGTCTGCCATTGCTTACCAGCAGCAAGATCTGTTAAAGCTCCAGTGAAGGCTGCTAACATGGTGAATAAAGGTGAGCAGCTGGCAGGGCTGGAGTTCCATGTCCATTGCATCCCATCCTCTTTCTGGTACTCCCATTGCAAAATCTAAGAAAGTAAGTTTACCATATGTAACTTGTGGCAGTACTAATTATGCTAAACCGAAGTTGCACTCTGCTACTATAATGACCCTTCGTTCTATTATGTTAATTGCAGTTTCAAGTGCTTCCCAGTTTGCAGGAGTAATTCACTGGATCAGCCTAGTCATCCTCTCTGTTTTCTTTTCAGAGGTATGTATAACCAAAGTCTTTCACCACATAGAGAACTGCAGAGTATGTTTATGTTGTCACTGGAATTAGCAAGAGTTTTACAGTAGTTTGCAAATAACATAGCACAGTGTATTTCAATGAAAAAAAACAAGCAAAAGTGTAATCTTGCTGCTTCTACTTAGCAAACTAAAAAGTGTTATTTAGATTAGCACGGTTTGTCAGTTGCTTAGAATTGGTAGAGAAACATGGAAGGGAAGATACTGCCTTAAAAATAATAATTGGTAAGCTGCAGAAAGAAATTATTGTCTCTGAATCTACAGGACAGCTTGATCCATTTGTTATCAGCATCACTGGGTATAAAGTATAGGATTTAGATGAAGATATGTTCTTCAAGAATAAAGATCCATGGGAGTTTTATACAAAAACTCTCACAATTTATTAAGGTAATTTACGTATTCCAGGTTGCTGCATGTAGACCTAGTCAGAGAATGAAACAAATGGTGAATTTCTTTGCCAAAATGTGTATGAATGTATGCACTGGAAAAGGCTCTAGTCACGATGTAACAAATGACCAAACTGGGATAATCTGCCTTTCTGAGCTTTCAGCTTTGTTCCAGAAAGAAGTCATTGGTATTGAGCCATTAACACTCATCCTGAAATATTCCAAAATTCTTTTATTGCTATTTTTCAGGTTTTAATATGTCACTTGTCACAATAACAGGTTTTATGTTTGTTAAATTGGAAGACAGTTAAATTGGACTTAAAATATTTTAAAATATTTTTTCAGGTTCCGTAGGAGAAAATATAATGCAGAGAGGTTTGTTAATGACTTCATTCTGTTGAAAATTTAGATGGCTACGAGGTGAAGGTTACAAAAAAAAAAAAAACCAATAATCAAAAAACAAAGCTATGATATCTGCAAATGATTTATTGGATCACTTGTATTGAATTAATATTCGTCATATATGATTGGTAATTTCTATGGTGCTCCTAATGAAATACATTTGCATGTATTGTTTTGTATTTCTCAGGAGGGTTTTTTAGCTGGTGCTGTCAGTGGGTGCTTTCCAAAAGGGATCTAACACTGCTCTGCATCCCAGCCTTCTGCTGCACTTACACAAATAGGTCCCATTACTGGCCCCATCCTTTGACAGTGGTGGTGGGCTCTAGATTACATGTATAATGACTGAAAATAATCTCTGAACAATTAAAAGAACGTGTAGTCTTTCCTTTGTGAATTGCACATCCTAATTCCCAAAGGCTCAGGTTTGCTAGATGGTGTCCATTCCCTTTAAAGAAATACTTTCCTCTCCCCTCCAGAATCTTTCCTTAGTGGGGATTAGCACCCTGGAGCTCTCTGTAGTCCTGAGCTTCCCAATAGGATCAGCGTGTAACTGCTGCTAGCATGGCTGCACAGCCACGTTCACCTTACCCTTTTGCTTTCTGGGGCTGGTTTCACCAAAAGCCTCTCCTGTGCTGCTCGGTTCCTGCTGCTGGACTGCAGCCTGCAGTTCTGTTTTCATTCCCCTGCACCACCAGCACTCTGCTCACGCCTGGGGCAGTGTCTTGCTGCTGTGTCCCTCCCTGAGTGCACAGCTGCTGTTGGGCTGTTTGTGGCACTGCAGACACACCCTTGAGGCCAGGGCTCATCTGGCTCAAGGAAGAAATTGATTGTTTCAGTTCTGCTGGGACAGGGTACCCTCCAAAGTGGTTGAACTGGTTCAGAAGTTTTTTTCAGGAAAAGAGTAACAGAAGTGTTTCACAGATCCAAAACCGTTTCCTTGACTGACCATCCTCATTTTGGATCTGCATTGGCTTTTCTCTCTTTATAAAGTAGTTGAAGCTACTTTGTCTATGTGCTGTTCTCATTTATTATAAGCTTATCACTCACTTCATTATCTACTTCTGTCTTCTGAAGCAGCTTCCCTCAGCTATTTGATTATGGTTTGAATTTAGATCAAAGGAGAATGAGGTCACAAGACAGCCATGTGAGGTGCACCGACCAGGATAGATTCTTAGGTATGAATTCATTTGGCAGTTCAGAGATAGAGGTGGCTCCACAGAACAGCTGGATGTGCTTCAGAGACCACCAGTCTGGGAGAGAGTTCAGGTGTACCTTTCCTACTGGAGTTAGCCTTATGCCAGGTTAAGTTCATATTGAATTGTGTCTCAAGAGAGCAGAAACAGAGGGTATAATTTTCTGTCATCCTTTTTTTTTTTTTTTTCCTAAGAGGTTACAAACTACTGCAAAAATTGCAAATGGCTTTTTTTCCCCCATGCATCTTAATTTTATTTACTTCTTTGGTCCCTTCAGGGAATTTCTTTTCCTCTGATTCCTATAACATGAGTTAGCTGTCTTTGGCATCATTTGTTGAGAAGATCATATGTTACAGTGAGATTCTGCAGTCTGTGGTTGTTCATGCCAGGATGATATTCCAGAGATGAGGTTTAATTAGTTTACCTGGGTATAACAGGTAACTGCTGAGTATTGATGAGTCCTTCAGTCATTGTTTTTCTACTCAAAGCAAGGATTCAAGGTTTCTGGTGTTCAAAAAAGGTGGTTTCCATAGCAAGTACCCTGTTCTAAGTTTGGATGTTGAGTGTTTATTCTGTAATTTGGTTCCCATTAGTTGTAAACATGGGTACCCAATTCTTCAGGAAGGCCTTAGCTTAAAGAACAACATTGTAAAATACTTGTTAAGACCCATAAAACTTTCAGTACAAAATCTGAATATTTTGGAAGAATACAGCTGATTAAAGGTGGTGCTATCAAAGCATTGCAAGTAATTGCAGTGCAGTTGAAGTTAAACAGCCACTGGCTTTCTACTTGGTTAAAATGAGGGGGCTAAACATGCCAGCAGCTGGCAAATGCCACCAGAACAGCTGCCAACAGAGCTGAGTAGCTGCCCTCACAACATCTTCCTGCTTTCCCTAGGCTTGTCTTAACAGCCACAAGCCTTAAAGGCACTTTGTTCATTTTATACTCTCTGTCACTGTCTGTGACTTTCCAGCATTAAAATATCTATATTCAAATGAAGTGCACATCAGCTTTTTTTGCTTTTTTCGAAGTATTTGAACAGGATTTACTAGTGGTTTGTCTCTGTTGGCATATATCACTATGATTTGTCTGTGCACCATATCTTACCCAGGCATTAAGATAGAATAGAAGAGAAGAGAGAGGCACTGGGGAGAAATCCCATATCAGCAGCAGGGCAAGGCCAGGTTGTACCCTCTTGAGAGGGCAAACTCAGCCTTGGTCTTATTTGGCTGAGAAAAGGAGATGGGGAATGTCACAGAGTTTTGGTAAGTGGATTGAAGTCTGCTCTTAACAGTTCTATCCATTGCCACAAATCCATGGTTCTGTGGCTGTTGTTCAGATCTGCTTTTCCCCTAGGGCTGATGTGCAAGAATGGAGTTTGTTGATATTAGCTGTTTGCACTGCTCTGTGTGCTGCAGCCAGCCCGGCACTCAGGCATTCTGCTGAGGGTTTCCCTGGGAGCAACCAAGTCTTGTGTACTCAGTCAGGCAAGCACCAAATCTCAGCTTTTTTCTGCCATCTGTGTCCAAGATATGAGCTCTCAAATTTAGTAGAGTAAGTCTGGGCTCCCAGCTGATAAACAATCTGTTTCATTAGCTATGGCTCACAGGAGGAAAAACTCCAAGGCTTTCCTCATCCTGTATGTTTAAAGGAAGTGTTCATAGTAGCCTGCCACTTTTCTTCTTGTTAATAGCAACCCTTGAAAGGAATAAAACCTCCAAAGGGAGACTCTGCTGTTGAAGTTCTGTTAAAAAGGAAAAACATCCTAAATGACAAAACTAAGTAAAAATGTCTTTCCCTTAAATTCATAATTTCTTAGAGAAACTCTGATATGTTACTTTTGTTATATTATTTGTGAGCTTCAAAGAGCTGAGAGGAAAGATAATAATCTCCTACTAATCTTCTGTAAACTGTGGTTTCTCTTTTGTGTGTTTACTTTTATTTCCTGTACATACAACTTACGGTGTATAAATGCACTTTATTGCTTTATGTTTTGTATTTTAAATGGAGTGAGTAGTGGAGTCTAGGAACAAAGATACAGATTTAAGGTATTAATGTGATTTATAAAGTAAATGTAGGCTTCTTTCTTTGCTAGTGTGTATAAAATAAATTTTAATATACTGGGAAATTTCTTTACTAAGCAATTTTGTGGCTTCACAAAGAAGTAGTTATAGGACCATGGAAACTGGTCCTGTAAAATTCTGGGAATCTTGCTGGACATTTGCCTGAAATACCAGTCTGCCCATTTCATTACCAATAGTATCCCTGACTTAGAGTGTGCTCTATCAGTGCTTCATCTGTGCTTTCATCTCTTGATACTGACAGTGCTGCACCTCCTACACCACACACAGAGAGAGGTGATAGTGCTTGTGTGACCATGCTCAGAGGGAGCCTGTGATGCAGCTCCTAAGCCCAGTTCCCTGGCTACTGTGGATGTGTGGTGCAGTCTCTGGTGAGCCGTTCTATGCCTGAAAAGCCCTTTCAAATCTATAGAGAATTGTCAGTTGAAAACTCACTGGATTTCCCCATATGCTAAGAATTAAGATTGTGATAGTATTGGGAGAACACAAGAAGAAATAGAAGTGCAGAGGTTGTGCAAAGGTGCATTTGGGTATGTGATACCCTGGTAGTGTTAGTGAGAGAGAACATGTGTTTGTGTCTGTTCATGGCACCAGGTTTTGGCAGGGAATGGTTTCTGTGGCACCACGAGCTGATGGAGCCCAGCAGTTCAGAGTGCAGGACATGGGATTGATTGGGTTGTACTAGATAATGGTGACATGGAGTCTGTAGTTCCAGAGCTTTTGTTGAAGAGAATCTGTGTGAGGAGGGTGCCTGTGCCCTGGAAGCAGAAGGATGTGTTCATTTCAACACGCCAGCATGTTCCTCTGGGCTCTGCTGGCCTGGGGACAGCGTGTGCTAGAACAGCTCATGCAGTAGCTCAGTACAGGCACACCAGGAGATGGCAAAAGAGGATTCTTATAAGGACTGGATGAGCTAAGGCCTCTGGAAATGACCTAGATGAGAGGCGTTATAAATTACAGATTGGGTACAAGGTGTTCTGGGAAAGCATTCAATAAATATTTGGTCTTATGAGATATGTGGAAAAGGCAAAAGCTTAATTTACAGAGTTTCTGGAGCCTGTGTGACGGAGGGAAGGAAGGGAGGAAGGAAATCCCTTCCAGCTGCCTCCATCCTGTCTATCTCCTGCCCAAGCTGTGCCCCATCATGAAATGCAGAGGTGCTCTCCTCCCTCCTTTGCCTTGTGCTACTGGGCCAAGGTCCCCTCCTCTGCTGCCTCCTGCTGATTTCACACTACGGAGGGTTTGGATGCAGTGACTCACTGAGTAGTAAATTGTATATTAAATGTGCAAGCAGAAAAGTATTTAAAATTACTTAATGTACCGTGTAGTTAGCTAACAAATGCAGATTGTGGCAATTCATACAGCTGGCTCAGCAAAGGACTTGGCCAAGGTTCCCTACAAAATTAGAGAGAGAACCTGCAGCATCTAAACTTCACTGCTGACAGTCAATATCATGCAAACAGTTGTGTATCACCAGGAGACTTTGTCAGTTTTGAAATAGGATTTCTGTCTGAAAAATGATTTAAAATTTTATCTGGGTTTATTTCAGCTTAAAGAAGCTAACACAACTGTTCAGTCATTTGCCTTTTATTGGTGCACTGGAAAGACTTTTATGTAATAAATTAGCTTTAGCAGAAGAAAATTGTATTTCTGATATAACTAAAAAATATGTGTTAAGGACTTTCTAGTTAAAAGGCTTCTAGTCAAAAAACATTAAAGCTTTCTTTCTCAAGTAAAAAAAAATGATCTGGCAGTACTTTCCTTTAACAGGAAAGTGCTCACACTGATACTTAATTTTTTTTCAAATCTGCATTCAAAAATGCAGGATGCCTGTAATGTAATGCAAAACTCTTTGTGTGCATTTGCTACATGCCTGCACATCAGTGGGAAAGAGCGATGCCACCCCAGTTTTTCCCTTTTTCTTGTAGGTTTTTATACTTAAAAATGGTAGAATTGTGACTAACGTCATTTTGTCTGTGATGAATGCTTTACAGTTGCAATTCTCTTCTAATTCATATGCATCTTTCAGTTTGGTCCTTGAACAGTAGGTAGGATGTTACCTGGATTATTCATTTCTGTCCCTGTGTTTTTTCAGATTCTGCTACAGGTCCTCATTTTGAAAGTTCTTTACAGAGAGAGTATACAATCAAATGCAATATATATATGTATTTGTATGAAACATATTTTTGATTGCTTTGGAAAAAATCCTAAAATGTTATATATAAGAAATATCAATGTTTTTATTTGCTGTCAAAGGATTTATTACACTGAGCAATCAAGTAGGTGCCTAGTACAGTCCAAATTCCTTTGGTTCCACCTCTTCTGGATGAGAGCTGTGGGAGCAGCAGGGGATGTTCTCTGTGCCGTGGACACACAGAGGCAGAGTGGGGACAGCCAGGGCTGGTTTGGAGCTGTGCTGGAGCAGGGTGGCCCAGGGCACCCCAGTGGCCAGGCTGGGGCTCTCTCGGGTCACCAAGGGCAGACTGCCTTTCCTGGCTCCTGGCACCTCAGTGCTGATGGCGTGTTTTAAGAGTGACAGTGCTGGTGCACAGCTTGAAGACCTTCCCAGCACAATAAATGTTTTCTAAGCTTACCCCCAGTTGTGTCCAGCTGGTTCTGAAGGGTGTGCCCCTGGGCTGGCAAGAGCTGCCTTATCTCACCCTTACACTCACCTTCGTGCAGTGTCTCGAGCCGAGAGCCAAGGTGCTGATCATCTGGGCATGTTGTGCGGGACACCAACACCCAATCCTGCATTAAATGTCTGCCAAGTAGACTTCCAGTCACTGCTGACTTGTGCTGATTCGCAGCAGCAGAGTGGCAATAAAAACATTTGTGTTAGCTTCCAGCCCTTGGAACTGCTCACACCCATTAACGTGGCAGTAGCACAGTCTGATTTAAATGCTGCAGTCAGGAATTAAAAAGGCAGGAAGGAAAATACTTTTGTGTGTTCCCTCACCAGACAGATGTTAAATCTTATTTAGGGTTGTGAGGCAGTGTTTCTGTTTTCTTTGTGCAGATATGCCTCATTTCAGTGAAAATACCTTTGTGCACACCTGTCTAAAGGAAGGAAGAATTTCACCTTCAGTTTCTGTAAAGTTGTTAGGTGCTCAGCAATCCTGTGTTTGTACTGACCTGGCACTTCATAAGTACTGCCCAAGCACAGCAGAGCATGAGCTGTGCTCCCAGCAGGGTGGCTGTAGGAAAGGTGGTGCCCTGAGCTTTATAGAAGGCTCTGCTTGTCCTCATGTGTTTCCCCATGGCTGCCTGCTGTGGAACCTGTATGGACCCCAGATAACTGATACAGCTGAACTGAGGGGCTCACAAGTAGCTTGTACTTCAGCCTTTTGTGCAGCTCCTCGGTGGGGAGTGAAGGAGATGCTGACAGAGGAGCTGGGATGCTTTTCATGACAGAATTCAGCTCAGGAGCTGAGCTGTGGCTGGCCAGCAGCACTTGCACTTTGTGCCTGTGTCAGATCACATCATGCTGGCCAGTTTGGGGTCATTAAGGGACTTGAGCACCTGGTCTTCTGCATCTCTTCCTCTACGTAATAAATTAACCTTGAGGTTTATTTATAGGTTATTAAGGCGAGAGCCTTACTCCCGTGCTGTATTTGTGAAGTGGTTGGAAGTACAGTGTTTTTAGGAGTACAGACTGGCAGCATTGGTGGATCTTGCTGTTTCTATATAGTGTCATCATTTTTTGTAGAGGAAAGAGGATGCTGCATTATGTCTTCGGGCTTGTGCCTCCCTTTCACAGCCAGCCTTGGCCTGTACCTTTGCATACCCCATTTCTGAGGTGTTGGCTTGTTCACTTTCCTCCTCCTTGGTGCTGCTGGGCTCTGGAAGCACCATCTGCCCCACAGGAGTGTCCCCCTGGGCAGAGCAGGGGTAAGTGCTGTTATCCAGGTTTGCAGTGCCAGGAGAAGGGAGCACAGTCATCCCAGGCCAGCTGAAGCATGGGGCCAGCTGAGGCTCATGGGGGTTGGCAAAACCATGCACAGGAACACTACCGAAAATTTCAGTGTTGTTCTGCAATTAGGTACTGCTGTTATGTTTGGCAGCACTTCAGAGCTGCTTGGGATTTAAGATTTGTATTTGTAGTGGAAAGGAGATACATGTATTCATCAGAGTCACTTTTTTCTGCACAATTCTGGGCATAATCACCCCCTCACGTGTAGGCCTGCTGAGCACTAAGTCATTATGCTGCTCTTCAGTGGAGAAGGTGGCATTTTGGTGGCCCTTGTAGGGCTCCCAGCTGCAAGTAGACTCCTCGTCTGTCAAAGTCTGACCTTGTTGCTGTTGGCAGGAAACATCCCTACCAGTTAGGCTTTATGTGAGTTCAATATCAATTGCAAGTTGACTGATGGATTTTTTTCTATTGTGTCTTCTGAAAGCCAAATTAAAAATTAGGATTGGATTTTTAATAGGAATTCACCATTGGTTCATTCTGTGGTTTTATTCCTCTTTTTTAGCTGTTGAGGCTACTTATTGCTGTTTTGCTTCATAGAGAAGGATCACAGAGATATTTTTCTCCCTTATCCCATGACTTTCTGGGATCCTGTAATAAAGCAACTGCCTTAAATTCCAATGAAGAGCATCTACTCTTCAGGCTGATGAAATGTCAGTACCTGTAGGCATCAGGACAGGATAGGGCCTCTTCTCTTAGAACATCAGTAAGCACTGGCATATCAAAGATGGCCAGAAAAGAGAATTTTCCCCCATTCTGACTGAGGGAGCCCCATGGTGAATCTTATATATTGTTGGGTCAGGAGGCTGGGGAGGGTTGGTAATCTAAATCACGCAAATCTGAAAGCAGAATTTTAGGAAGATGGAAAGACTGATGAGCATTTGAACTTGGAACTTGTTTGTGGAGGTTTTACTAAGTCAATATACTGGTTGGGAAGCAATATCTGCTTTTTTAATATGGCAGTTTAGCCATTTCTAGGATCTGATTATTATTTAGAAGAAATGCATAGTGCTTAAATAAGACAAAAAAATTATTCCTTAAATAGGTAAAGAGCTAAATGTTTATCTAAGAATGCAATAACATTCATAATCGTTTTTCCCCCTAATCTATTTTACTAGACTATTTTGAGGATTGTGGTCCTTGGCATATGGGATTACATTGAAAACAAAATAGAGGTAAGCTCTTTCTTTTGGTACTGTTTTCCAGGCATCCCAGAAAGACCATGAAGAACTGCTTTAGATGGCTTTGTTATTAATCTGGTGCAATACAATATCTTTTAAGGCAGATAAATACACACATTCTTCTCATTATGTGCATTATCCATAGCTGAGTGATGCAGTCCCTTTTTCTGTGAGAGACTCAGAAGATTGCAATATTTGAAAATATTTTATGAAGGGAGGGATTTTGGCCTTCTTGCTCTTTGTGTGACTTTTGTTGTTAGAACTGTGCTGGTCTAACTGACAATACTGCTGCTCTGAGATGTAAAAATTGTTACCTGAGTTTTATTAACTCATTGCCATAATTGAGTTGAACTTAGTTGAGTTAGTTGAAAATTACATGTAGTTTCCTGGTAGTAAAACTAGTTTGGCAAAACCCTCATTTTTACTGAGAAATTGTTTTGATAAACACTGTAATTAGTACCTCAAATTAAAAATTACATAGAATGTATATTCTCTGGTAGAAAAAGAAAAATAAATTCGTGTGTAATAAATAATACATAATCCCAATCTGAGCAGAAATCTGGAGATCAGGAAAATTAAAAGCTCTTTCTTGATACTGCCTCATAAACCACTACTGTGCAGGAAGAACCAGAATACAATCTGGGTGTTCTTGGAGCATAATCATTCTAGAGACTTGCATTATTTTTGTAATGAAGTTGTAAACATTTTAACTTGTTTTGCCAAAAAAAATGAAATGAAACTTAAATAGTTGATTCAGGGTTTTTTATTACTAAGGCTAAATGCAGAAGTTTCTGATAATTCATCTTAGTAATTTGGAATAGTGATATTTTTTACTGCCCATTGAGTGGCTGCAGTAAGAGGTATTTCTTTTCAATACATTGAATTGGTATACACAGTTCTGAATAAGTAGTTCTTATAAAAATCTGTGCCCCACCTCTTTATGCAAACATTTAATCAAAGGGCCTTGGCAGCAGGGGAGGGTTTCAGCAGGAATGAGAACATGGTGCTCTGTTCTACGCTGCTGGGCCAGTGTGGGACAGACATGACACTGCTGCCACTTTGCTCTGGAACACATTTACTAGCTCATTTCTGTCTCATGCTCTGCACACTTGCTTTTTCTGATCTAATCCCAATGCAGCCAGTGTCACATAAATCATTCAGAACAGTCCCAATTGTCAAACTCCACGCTGCCCCATAAAAGTGAGAGCAGGCAGTCTTTCTGGCTAGGTGCACAACCATCCCCACACATGTTGTGTAGTCAGGACATGGCCAGAAGCCATCAAGTCTCTTGGCTCCATCTTTTTCTACTTGTCTTCTTGATCTCTTCATTTAGACAGTAAGATCTATGGGCAGGGACTGCATATTTTTTAGATGACATTATGCCAAGTAACAGGTAATAAATACCAGTGATGATAAAACACTTTGGCTGTAATAACATTTAGACTATCAATTCTCCTTGGGGATTTTGGCCAGTATTTCCAAATACCTTTCTCTCCCCCTTCCCTTCCACCACAGTTTATCTCTCCTCACCTCATAAAAAGCACTGAGGAATTCTGTTGTGCTACCTAAAAAGGATGCAACCTTTCTGTGCTTGGCCACCTCTCATATCCCTTTCAAATAGGTACATCATTGCATTTCTTTTGGACAAAGAGGGAGTCCTTCAAGATTTCAAAGAGGAATGGCAGGGATACGATTTTAAGGAAAGGTTTGAAAAAACTGATTTCTCTCTAGGTGTTTGATGGTGCTATCATAATCTTGTCCTTGGCACCAATGGTGGCCTCAACCGTGGCTAACGGCCCCAGCAGCCCATGGGATGCCATCAGCCTTATCATCACTCTGCGGATATGGAGAGTGAAGAGGATCATTGATGGTGAGTGGGGACTCAGCTTGTGACTCCAAGCATCACCTGGCAGGCTGGGAAAAAGAGGTTTTAAAAATACAGAAAGATTACTTACTCCCACTGTTCCTGTCATTGTCCTTTCTCTTATATTTTGCTAGCACTGAACAGAAGAGAGTTATGACTCCCATGGAGGAGAGTAGGTCTGGAGATCATGTCTGTATCTTCTGCTTTCTAGGAGCCTTTATAATTTATTGGTTTATTTTCCTGTTAGGCACCATCCCCTGTCCTGTAAAGTAAATGTCCTGACTTGTTTTATGTCTCTTGCTCTCATTGCTCATTCTGCAAAATAATTGATTCTCTGCTTTGCTGATATTTGCTGCACCCTCCCCATAACCATACAGCGAGCTCTGTCTTGGGACTTTATTTTCTAAGTTTTTGTCAGTAAATAAGTTTTGTGTCAGATTCCAGGAGGATTTTCTTGCCCTGGGGATTCCCAGCAGGAGGTGCTCTCTGCAGTGCTGTACATCCTGGAAATGAAGTGCACATTTGGGGTGTTTTGCACAGACCTCTGTGGGGATGTACCAGGGGAGATGAAAAGGCCCCAGGAAGTCAAGGTTGCAGAGAGCTTGGCCTGGAAGCAAGGACTTTAGTGTAGGTTACTGTGTGCTCAGCAGCTTCAGGCAGCTTAGGGAAAAGAAATAAATGAATGGCCATTTTGCTCATGTGTGAAAAATCAAAGTTGTTATTTTGGGTTTAAATGCCCAGAAAACCTTGTATTCATAGTTCAGGAGAGGCCATAGCCCTCTGATTGAAGCATAAAAGAAAATTTCAGGATTTTGTGTAGCTTAAGAAAACATTAATTGCGGTATGTGTTGACCAGCTTTTCTGATCAGTGTGAGTTTGCCATAGTTAAGACAGGAGCAAAGTTTTTAGAGCCATTCAGAAAACGTATTGAAAACTGGACTGTAGCTTGAAAAGCCATAGAAGATAAATGCCCTTTTTCTTCAAAATATCTTTCTTAGTCTGCTGTGTCCATTAAGGACTGATTTCTTACCACGAAGTCTAGGAATTAAATGGTTAGGACTCTGGAATAGTTACTTTTCCTGAGGGAGATGTGCTGTTCAGGTTTAGAGGGAATGAGACTGACTCTAAAGAGAAAATCCTCCTGCCCAGTAATTCAGGAAATCCGTGGTAAACACAGGGGAAGTGCTTTAGTAGCAGGGAATCTGAGAAGAGCAGGCAGCATGCATTTCAGTTCAGCCAGGCAGATAAAGGTCTGACCAAACAATATCTAGACCCTGCATTTCCAATGCTGGAAATCCTTCCCTGAAGAATGTACTCTAATGCTACTTCGATTGGAAATACTCTAGTTCTCTGGATGCAGGGGAAAAGGATCATGTTCTTTGGCCTGTAAAGGTTTTCTTCCTGATAAAAAAGCAAATCACAGCTGGGTTGCTTTAAGTGTTATTTGTGTTTTCCAGCATATGTCCTTCCAGTGAAAGTGGAGATGGAGATGATGATTCAGCAATATGAGAAGGCAAAAGTTATTCAAGATGAGCAGCTGGAAAGACTAACCCAGATCTGCCAAGAACAAGGGGTAAAGTTCAGTAATGTCTTTATTTACATATATCTTGTCAAGACAAGTCAAACAGTTCATGTACTTGCTGCAGGCTGAGCTTTGAGAAGTACTACTGGGACTTGTGCTGTGGGGTGACAGGTCTCAGTGCCAAGGAAGCATTAGCTGCAGCCAGGATATTGTCAGCATGGTATTTGTCAAACCGCAATCAGCTGCCTCTGCTGCTGGGCTTATGTTCTTGGAGGTGAGGAAAACAAATGTGAGCAACAGAAAATAAATGGTTCCAGTATGTAATTTATTAAATGAGTACAGCTAGCTTGACATAGTATTAACATACAAAACCCATTGTTGGAGACTGCAGCTAGTATTACTAGGAAAAGGCTGTGCAGTTAAAAAAAAAATTAATTTCCCTGCTTTAAATGCAAGAGGCAGCTTCCCTGTAGGTCAGTAAGACTCCTGGCAAGTTCAAAATGTTACAGTAGAAGCTTCTAGTTCCTGGAAGCAAGTTAAGATTTAAGAGTCTTCCCAGGCCCACAAATGTTCAGTGATTCAGTCTAGAGGTAAGGGAAGGTGAAGTCTGAAATATCTGAAGTGAATATATTTTACATGAAAAAGGTGTAAAACCATTTTGGGGCAATGAGCCAGGAGATTTTGCCATTTGTCTTATGCAAATGAGTTCTTGACTAACTTGCTTTAAAGTGGAAAGCAGGGATGGATGTTGAGGCTCGGGATAAGTGAGTGTTGAGGTGACCATCAGATAACAACAGGATGATCCCCGGGTGATTTACTTCTTGTTTCAGTGAAACGGGAACTATGAGATATAGTCCAAATAAATCCTGGAGATTTCTAGCTTTAACTACCAGTCCTGGCTTGTGGCAGGTACTTTTGAAATACAAAACCATCAATATTTAGGTCCCCAATCAGATTTTTAGGTATAGGTCCAGATCTCCTGGATGTCAGCTTAGGATTGTGCAATGAACTGCTGGAGGTGGTAAGTTGCTTTGTCTGTGTGATGCTTTAGGAAGAGCTGTAGACACTGTGTCATTTCATAATGCTGGTTTTGAGTCACTCATATTAACCATAACTAAGTTCTAAACCTAAGGCTTGGCTTCTGCCAAAAATTAGTAAGTGCCAACTATATCGTCTTTGGTGACAAAACTGCAGTCCTCTTCATAACATCTTGCACAATGATACTTGGTGATTTGGGTTCTGTCAAGGTTGTGAAATTGCCAGGTAAATGGTATACACTCCATTTTACAAGGGTGAGGTTATCCCTTCACCAAACCCATTAAGCAAATTGGTGATTTCTTGAGTTCCAGTGCAGTATTTTGTCTGTCGGACCATATTAAAGTTCTTGACAATCATAAATTGTAAAACATTTGTTTTTAGGAACTTTGCTATACAGACAGATAACACTCTCAATCTCTAAACAATTTTTAGTGTTATTGTTTCATAGTCTGAGTAAAGGTGGGCTCATTATCCCAGGTGGGGTTCAGAAGCAGCTCTTGCTGCTTTTCATTCTGAGCCAGGTACTCCTGAATGTCTGACCAGAGTCGCCCTAAATCCGAGCTCTGATGGTTACAACCTGTACATCAAACAAAGAAATACTGCACTGGTAGAGGAGTAAGTCTGAGAAAACAGAGCAGGTTCTCTTGCAGCTTTCAAGTGTCATCTGCTATGGAAAAGCACAGTCTATAGAAAGATGACAGCATGCTAAATCCCTCTTACTGGCCTGACTTGCTGCCAAACAACTGTCTCAGCTGCATAATATCAGGTAAATGTACTAATTTGCTGCAGTTAGTGATATAAGACATTGACAGGAGTACTGCATCCTTTATTTGTAAATTATTAGCTTCGTAATTCATTCAAGAAAAAGTTGTCAGCTTTATAATAGTCACATTAACATTGTATACAGCATCTGATGGGAAAAATGGCTCCTAATGGTATTTAATATCTAAAATTCTGCCAGGTTTTTGCTTTTTCGTTTGATCACCTTTCCTGAGCTTTCTAAAGGATTGCTGGTTCATGGTGTTTCCATGTGTTTGTCTGTTTCTGAGGGAAGGTTTGCCTGCAGCAGTCTGGCTGTGCCCAGAGCAGAGCAGCAGCCAGGAGGGTTCCAGGCTGCCCTGGTGCCAGCTGTTCCATGGCAGGGGGTGCTGGCACTGTGCTGCCCGCATGGGCACAGCAGACAGGTCACCGTGGTGCCCTGCAGCCCAGCAGCACCCTGTGCTGCACCTTTGTGACCATGCTGGTGGTTTGCATTTATTCAGGAGTTAGAGATGGGATTGAGAACATTCCTGGTGGAAAAGTTTCCCAGTGCTTCCTTTTCTGAGATCCTGTGTTTGGTTTCTTACTGCTTTGCTGCTGCTCAGGCAATTGGGGTTAGAATTCTCAGGGTATGGCATATTCTGCAGATGAACTGATCTTGAAAGTCTCAAGCAAAGTAATTATTTCATTAGAGGAATTGGAAAAATAGTTAGCCTGTTTTACTTGGGATTTAAAACAAAAATAATTGGTGGCTGGTTCTCTGAGAAGTCCCATGCTGATTTGAAGCTGGTGCTTAATGCTAGGCAGACAAAACCAGGACTTCTTTAAAAATTAAAAGCAGCAAAGATACAACCTCCCTTCATCTTTTTGAAGTCTCTTTCTTTTGTCAGTTGTCAGGTTTTTTTGACCAGTGATGGGGTGTCACAACTGTAAAGTACATTTCCATTCCTGACTGACATTGGAGATGTACTTTTGCAAACATGGAAACTCTTTCCACATGTTTCTTTTTGGCTAGCTGTACATCTGAAAAACAGAATATGTTTATAAATTATACTTGCACAGGCCACCACCTTGTTCTCTGTAGTACCCCACTGCAACTGTTTGAATAGTTTGCTTTTTATTTATTCTCCATTGGCCAAAAAAAGAGATTCTTAAACAGGAATGGAGCATGAGGGATTTCTAAAAATGGGTAAATGTGAAAGGAAAAGAAGTCTCACTGCAGTCACTGTCAAGAACATGCAGAGTATATTGCTGATGGTTTTGTTTTATCAGAATAACTTAAATTGCAAAACAAAGTTCTAAAGTTTCATTAGCTACAAATTCCAGTCAGGGAAGATTGCTTTTTTATCTCTGGAATCACCTGTAAAGGAATTTCCATTTGTGACAATAGAAATATTTACCTGATCTTTTCTGCTTAGCTTTCAGAAGAGTCATTCACCTGAACACAGCCCAGGAGTATGTGCTCAGCCTTATCACACCAGAGCTCCTTTTCTGCCAGTTCCTACAGAGCTAGGGTTTTCAGCATTCTTAGTACTACAACAATTACAAGAGCTGTAATTTCTTTTTTTATCTTGGAATTTAATTTGTACAACAGCTGCCAGTTTAATGGCAGGGCTATTTAGCTGGTAAAATTACCTATTGGAGAAATAACGTATGCTATCCTCTTGCAATAATTTTAATTTATTTCTAACTACCAGTCATTTTCTTGGTGGATGGAAGGCAGCCAAGGTCATCCTGTGCTTTATTCTACCCATAAATCATTAGTTTGCAACTGCATCCTGATTTTTATTGTTACCAACAATGGCTAAACTAATGGAAATAAACACTGGATTGTATCCCAGTGGCAGATGACTTTTAGGGCATGGCATTCTGTACAGACAGCACTAATAGAATTGAGCAAAGTTACTGCTCCTGCCATTAGACACAAGTAAGCTTCTGGCTAAAATGTTCATTGATCTCTCAGAAGCTATGTCAATCCTACTCTGTTGTTAGACCATTAAAGGGAAGTACTCCATGATTCACTGCTAAGTCTCTTTCAAGTCTTACATGTGTATTATACAAATCAGCTAGGATGGGTGGCCCACTTAATAAAACCAGGCATGTGAAAGGAGATGTTATCTAGAGCTCTGGGTAGGTCTGTCGATTTACCTGCTTAGAAATAATCACCTAATTCATTATTTGAGTGAGGAAGTGCCCAGGAGTGCCCCATAATTATTTCTGGTTCGTTTCCTGACAAAATATTGCCAGGTTTGTGGTGCAAGAGGACATGTAACAGATTTTAAAAATTGTAAGTTTAAATTTGTTGATGAACTTTCTCTTCATGCCAGACAATCTAGTTACTCATTCTTCTGTGAAGCATTCTGTATCTCCCTTTTTCTTGGTAATAAGTATATTTTCACATCAGCCACATGTATTACACCTTTGTTGCTGTTTTCAGCTCCATCATGGTGGGTGTACCCAGACAGTTCTCAGAGGTGCACAGTGACAGTACACAAGCATGGAATGTGCAAACTTCCTGCGAAATACGATAACAAACATTTTCATTATGAGAATGGGCAAGCACTGGAGCATCTTGCCAGGGAGGTGGTGCTGTGTGCACACAGCCTGGAGATAGTCAGAATTCGAGAGGACAGGCTTTCAGCAGCCTGAGCTAAATGGAGCTGCTTAAAGCAAGGTGTTGGATTAGATGGCCCTCCCAGTTCCATTTCACTTCAGATTATGTTGGGATTTTATGAAGTTTTCAAAAATATTTTTTCCATTACAGAGTATGTTGGGACTTATTGGTAAATACCCACCAGAAGATACCAAAGTATGTGTAATTAAGGAACATGAATGTCATAGGTATCAAGAGGTGTGGTTTACCTTTGTCTCCTTGGTCACAAGTTATGAGCATTTTTTTGCTCCCTGGCTCTCTTAGAGATTTGCAAGGTTCTTCCACAGAGCTGATACCTATGAGTTAATTTAAGCAAATCAAAGCATGTGTTTAAGTTTATATGCCTTTTTTTGGTCATCTGATGATATGTGCAGTGTGCTTCTGCCCTACAGGCTGAGGGAAGAATGGTGAACCTGGAAGTGCAGCCCGTGGGTTCCTCAGTCCATGTGTACACTCAGATCTCTGCATCAGCTGCTGCTGCAAATAGAAATTTGACATGTTACCTTGGCCCAGAATTTTACCTTTAAAAGACTCTTGTATATACCTCCTAATGATTTATTTTAGCTGCCCTGGACTGCCTGAATGCAGAGCAATCTCATTAGCTCTTGTACACATTAGAACTGCCCGAGCTCAGTGTGCAGTAAAATCTTCAGTAGACAGAAGCACCTACAACCTCATTTGCTCACGCAGCTCTGGCTGCATTTCACCTGTAAGGAAAACGCCCTTAGACTTAACCTTTGTTTTAGGGGGTTGCTTTGAGTGGCTGACGCTGTGTTCCAGCACCTGCAGGATCCTGGGATAATGGTTGGGAAACAGCTCCTACTGACCCAATCAGCTCTGTAGATCCGTGCCCTTTGGGAATGAAAATCCCGTTTCTTGTCCGTGACAGGAGGCCACCCGTGCCCGGATCCAGTGTCTGTGGCAGGGCACCCAGATTTGGTATCTGTGAGCGGGTGACCCTGGTGCCCAGGTTCAGTGCCTGTGACAGCTGTGCCCCAGTCCGGCGTCCGTGACAGGGTGACACCGGAGCCCAGTTCGGTGTCTGTGACAGGGTGACACCGGAGCCCAGTTCGGTGTCTGTGACGTGGTTCCCGTGCCCGCTGTGTCCCGTTCCCGCTGTGTCTCATTCCCTCTGTGTCCCGTTCCCGCTGTGTCCCGTGCCCGTTGTGTCCCGGTGCCCGCTGTGTCCCGTTCCCGCTGTGTCCCGTTCCCGCTGTGTCCCCGTGCCCGGTGTCCCGTGCCCGGTGTCCCGCTCCCGGTGTCCCCGTGCCCCGTGGCGCGGCCGCAGTTCCCCCCGCGCCCGGCAGGTGGCAGCCGCGCCGCTGCCGTTCCCGCTCTGTCCCGTTCCCGCTCTGTCCCGTGCCCGGTGTCCCCGTTCCCGCCGTGTCCCGTTCCCGCTCTGTCCCGTTCCCGCTGTGTCCCGTTCCCGCTCTGTCCCGTTCCCGCTGTGTCCCGTGCCCGCTCTGTCCCGTTCCCGCTCTGTCCCGTTCCCGCTCTGTCCCGTTCCCGCTCTGTCCCGTTCCTGGTGTGTCCCGTTCCCGCTCTGTCCCGTTCCCGCTGTGTCCCGTTCCCGCTCTGTCCCGTTCCCGGTGTGTCCCGTTCCCGGTGTGTCCCGTTCCCGCTCTGTCCCGTTCCCGCTCTGTCCCGTTCCCGCTCTGTCCCGTGCCCGGTGTCCCCGTTCCCGCCGTGTCCCGTTCCCGCTCTGTCCCGTTCCCGCTGTGTCCCGTGCCCGCTCTGTCCCGTGCCCGCTGTGTCCCGTTCCCGCTGTGTCCCGTGCCCGCTCTGTCCCGTGCCCGCTCTGTCCCGTTCCCGCTCTGTCCCGTTCCCGGTCTGTCCCGTTCCCGCTCTGTCCCGTTCCCGCTCTGTCCCGTTCCCGCTCTGTCCCGTTCCCGCTCTGTCCCGTTCCTGGTGTGTCCCGTTCCCGCTCTGTCCCGTTCCCGCTGTGTCCCGTTCCCGGTGTGTCCCGTTCCCGGTGTGTCCCGTTCCCGCTCTGTCCCGTTCCCGCTCTGTCCCGTTCCCGCTCTGTCCCGTTCCCGCTGTGTCCCGTGCCCGGTGTCCCGTTCCCGCTCTGTCCCGTTCCCGCTCTGTCCCGTGCCCGGTGTCCCGTTCCCGCTCTGTCCCGTTCCCGCTGTGTCCCGTTCCCGCTCTGTCCCGTTCCCGCTCTGTCCCGTTCCCGGTGTCCCCGTTCCCCGCTGTGTCCCGTTCCCGCTCTGTCCCGGCCCCGGGCGGTGCCCGCGGCGGTGCCCGGAGCGCTCCCGGCCGGGATGTGCTCTCTGAGCGCTCGCAGTGTCTGCGCTGGTTGGAAATGCTCACTTCGTCCCCGGGAGCTCGGAATGCGCGGCAGCAGTCTGGGCTCGCCCCCATTTCTCCTCCTCCTTCGCACCTGTGATGCGTTCGGGCTTTTGATTGTTACAATGCTCAGCAAGTCTTTGTAAATGCTGAAGCTCCTTAAATTGGATCTGATGCAGTCGTAGTTATTGAGCTGACTTTTAGCTAGTTCTGTCTATTTGTGTTGAAAAATACCTGCCAGATTTTTTGTCTTGCATGAAAAAAGGAAATTGTACCACACCTCTAGGCCAGAATTAAGCATTTCAATGACAGTTATTTCTTGATTAGGCACGTATGAATGTTTTTGAAGGGTGAAATGTAGAGAAACAGAAATTATGTTTGAGCTAGACAACGTGAAAAAAAAATCTCCAAATTTCTTTTTTGTCTATTATGTTTGAGCGCATTTCTTCCATTAAACCAATGGAGTGACTGAAAGGGTATCTTTTCTCTTTAAAGGTGGAATGTAAGGTATTCCTTGTGATTTTTTTTTTTTTTTTCAAGTCAAGGATATAGCCTGAAATTCCCATGTTCATACTGACATAAGTTCCTTGAGCCTCAGGATGCTTCAGGCTGACTGGGAACAGAGTTGGCAGTGCCAGTTCTTCCTAGCAATAGGTTAACACAATAACAACTTGTTATTATTGGAATAATAACAAGGAATCTGCCATGGAAGCTTCATTGCAGGAAATCAGGGAGCAGGGCAGTATTTTGACATTTGCTGATTCCACCTGACTCCTGACTGCCACTGGCAGAAGGCCTTTGGTTAAGAAGCAGTGAGCACTTGCAGCCAGCTGTCTGCAGCTGCTAGGCCTCTGTGCACTGGATTGCAGATGGAGGAAAAGCTGTGCTTTCTTAGAGCCCTGGATTAGCTGCTTTAATGGGATCTGGAAAGCTTGAACTGCCCTTTGGCTTTCTAGATTTGAGTCTTGCAATGGGCCTTCCCAGTCACTGTAGTTCCTTCCCAGACGCTCTGGAAAGCAGATAGTCTGCAGGTGTGGCAAACTGGAATCCCTTCTCCTTTCCTGAATCAGTGGAAATTCTGCCTGGTTTCCCCTCCCCAGTGTCTGGACCACATCTGACTGCAGTGGAACAAGGGGGGGTCTGGTGATGGGTTCCAAAATCTGCCAGTGAAGCAGATCTGAATCACATCTGAGGGGTGAGAGGCACAGGCAGGTGCACTCAGCCAGGGCTGTTCCACACCAGTTTTCCAGCACGGAGGTGCCAATTCCATGTGCTGTGGGTGTGGAGTGGCAGCTGCCGTGTCCTCCTGCTCTGCTGTAGCTCTGCAGGCCCTGAACCAGGGGAGGCCCAGCAGTGCCATATTTGAATGCTTGCCTGTTACTCACCTCATTTGTGTTTCCCTCTCAGACTCTAGACTTAGACATGACTTGGTCACTGCTGTATTACTGATTTTAAAGAGTTACTCTTTTAAAGAGAAACTCTCCCTTGCAGCCCCACAGCTGTGCTGTGTGGCACAGGGAGTTTTGTCCTGCTTATATAAGGGTTTAAAGGGTCTCTGCAGCCTCTCCAAAAAAATTGTTGCCCTTCTTGCATTGTGGAAGATGCGTGGCCATCAAAAACAAAAGACATCTGCTGTATCCCTCAGTCAGATTGTACCTGGTAGCTTCCTTTTTTTCAGGTATCTGCTTTATAACACCAGTCACGAGTAAATCCCCTTGTGGCTGCAGAAATTCTTTAACATGTTTGAGAGGAATGGCCAGAAAAGTGGTAACCTTCCCCCTGGGTTTTCTGCACACTGCTTAGTACAGAAGGTTTCAAGTCAGAAGAGGACTGTATTATCCTCCCCTTGTCGAATTAGTGAGGGAGAAATATTCTGGGTGCTGCTCAGAGAACCTCCCCTCCACTGGAAGCCTCATTACAAAGTCTAGTTAGAGAATTTGTCATGAAGCTAACTCCCTAATGCCTGTTAAAACTGGTCTCTTGCTCTAAAGGTTACTTGAGGTTGGGCAGTAAGAATTGTTAAAATTGTCCAAAATCTCACCTTCAGGACACAGCTGTGCAAAACAGAGGACCAGTATAAGGCAGTCATTATCTTTAGATTATGTGAGCAATGATCCAGCTCACACAGGCTCTGGGAGAGCAGCACCAGCTTGGGCTCATGTCCTGGCTCAACTACACTCTTTGTTTTACCAGACCTGTAGTGTTTAGTGATGAGTAATAGGTCCCCAACTGTAGCTTATAAACTTCTGGCTGTGCTCACATGACATCAGTTTGTGGTGGTGTTTTTTCCTCCAGTTTGAAATCAGGCAGCTGAGGGCCCACCTTGCTCAGCAGGATTTGGACCTGGCTGCAGAGAGAGAGGCTGCACTGCAGGTCCCACACGTGCTGAACAAACAGAGCAGCAAGAGGTACAAGGTGGTGGCCACTGAAGACTCGGACGATGAAGCCACCGAGAACATCGCTGGGCTGCGACCTGCACGAGGTGAGTGCACAGGTGATGCTCCACAGTGGGATCTCACTGAACAGCTGCACTCCTGCAGGGATCCATTGCTGCCCTGCAGGCTGCAGTTTCCCACTGCTGCAGAGAGGCTGCATCTGCTCTGAAGGGGCAGGAGCTGTTGTATTTGGGAGCAGGTTCTAAACAGAGCCAAAGAAATGACAGGGGAAGAAAATGGCTACGATGTACCTTCCCAGTGTCCTCATGGTTAGATCCATCAAACACTAGAGAAGCAGCAGCCAAATGAAAGTTGGCCAAAGGATAATCACTCAGAGCTAAAAGCAGGGAAATTGGGAAGAACATTGAAAAACAGTTTTGGTCTTTGGCCACTTGCATTTCTGTGGTTTGGAGAGGACTCCTGCATCAGCTGTGGGCTTGCCTTGCCTGGAGGCTGTGCTCTCACCAGTTCCCTAAAGCTGCCAGTTTTGGGCAGGGCAGCACTAGTGCCAGGAAAGGAGGGAAGTGCAATGTGGGCATCCTGCTTGCACGTCTGAGTGACCATGGTAAGGAGCACTCTGCTGCCTCAGGGGGTCTGCTGGGCAGCTCTGTGGTTCAGGAGGTAACAACAGTTACATTTACTTGGATCAGATTTTATTATCTAAGTGCTGGACCTGAATTTTTTATGGAAAAGACAAAGCTCCTTTCCTGTGATCCACCAGCCCTTCCAGTGGAGTGCAGGATGTCTCCTGCTTTAATGTAATATTCCAGAGGAGACAACACTTTCCACCTTAGTGGTGTGTTAGTCTTCCTTGGGCATCTTAGCTTAATTATTGTGAATCTGTTGGAATTAGAAGTTTGCACAGTATCTTTATGTTGGTCAAACTCCTGAGAATTCGAGGCACAGATACTTTAAAAGCTGTTAGACATTTTTAAATTATAATCCTCTCCTTTATCTACAGAGTAGTGAAAGCATGTAGAAAATAGTTTTGTTTTTTCATCTTTATAATATCTAAGCACTAACTACAGTAAAACCATTAATTATTTCTGATATGAAATTGTATTTAAAAGCAGACAGTTGAGCAGACTGACCCCTAAAATGCATTTCCCTCTTTTTTGTAGTATTTCAGAGGTTTCCCCAGTGGATATATTATAATTTATGCATGTGTTCCTTGCGGGTTACGTTTGGAACTGAAGAGTGTTGCACACACTGTAAGGAGGCTTGCTGAAATTTTAGTGCTCTGGAGGTTGATCTAAAAATTCTTCTGTCCAAGGTATTCATTCTAACATCTAGGTTAACAGAATTACTCATTATTCATGTCTTCCTGTAAAGTGCTGCCCACACTTGAAACAAAGTAGATGCCCAATCTTCAGGATTGATTTCTGCACTTAGGTTACATGATTAGAGGGATTTGTGCTTTTCACTGAAAAAAAAAGACATTGAGCAAATAAGAAACATGGATTGCTTCACATATTGGGTCAGGTGCAGTTATGTTATATTTAAACATTTATACTGAATATGCAGAATAAATTTCCAATTCCTGGAGATCATCTGAAAGTACCAGAGGAAATGTTTCTTGTGCACTCTATTATATATTGCATAAAAGTCTTTGTAGGTGCCTTGAGTGCTTGTTGTCAGAACCTAAATTAGGGTGACTATATTTGAACAAGTAGTTTCTGTGGAATGAGGCAGGAGCTGGACAGAAATTCCCTGTGTTCTTACAGCAGTCTGTGGTAGTCTCCCGTGGCAGGGGGCTGCCAGCACAGGGCCCAACTCAGATTTCCTGAGACACCCCACACAGCAGTGGTGTTCAGTGTGTACAGCCCCGGGCACAGCCAGTCCAGGCAGAGGATTTCACATGGCATTCCAGGATTATTTTGCTGGCTTAGGGATTGCTTCTGTGTAACTTGGAAATCTCAGCTCCCAGCTGGAGAAGGCAGTTACTGCTGGGCAGTGAGGATCCTGGGCCAGCCCTGCCTCATTGTTCTCTCTCCCCATCTCGACTGGGGCTTTCTTCTCCGGCTCTCTGGCACCAGCTTTTATTGCCAGTGATCCGCTTTCAGCATCCTCCCTTTGCCGTACTGGCAGTATCTTCTCATTCTGCACCCTCCTGAGCAGTGCAGGTGTCAGCCAGAGCTGCCTGGGCTATGCCAGGTGGAGGCAGGGCATGGCTGAGGGTGCTCTATGTTCTCTGTGTGGGAAGGGAAAATGCAGTTGGTGTGGGATCCCCTATCTTCCCCACATGCTGGGGCATGTGAAATACTCAGAGATGGGGCTGTCCAGAGTACAGGCAGACAAGACAATTCTTGTACTCTCCTGCAGTCACACTGGCTCTGCTGCCTTCAGGGCTTCCCACAGCCCTGACTGGAACTTCAGTCTCCAGTGTTTTAACCTTTGGGTCAAGGGTTATATTTTGCAAGTTACCCCATGTGTCAGACCACATTAGGGATTGCTTTGCAACTGTTTTCTCTAAGCTGTGATTTTTCTTCTTAAGGATTCCAGAGTGAGGGCTGCAGCTAATCATTCAGAGTGGCACTTGGCACTTCTGAGCTCTGGAACATACCTGCCATGGCCTATTGCACTGCTAGGGACAGGAGAAATGAGGGACCAGGTCACCTCCACTGTCAAGAGGAAGGCAGTTCAAAGCCACGATTCAGCCATTTGGCAGAGCACGCTCTGATGTGCTGTTCTTTTGTACTCTGGCAGAACATTAGCCCTACATACAACACCTGAGGCTGGGGGATGGAATGGAATGCATGTGTTTCTGCCAAATGAAACTTTGTCAGCCTTCAAAAAATCACTGTCTTCAGAGAGCTCTGAATTCTGCCAAACCAGCAAGCTTGAGTTGGCTAGAGAACATACTGCATGAGAAAATGGGATATTCCATCTCAGGCTAATCTTATTTCCCCCATCTATATTGAACAATGGAAACATTCAGTGCAAAATTCTTCACCATGAAGGGCTGATGGAATAAGAAAGCATTGAGACTTTTTACTCATTTCCCTACCTAGAAGTTTTATGGGACAGTGCATAAGTTAAAGCTCCTCAGGGGCAGCTATAGCTTGTCTCTGGTACTTACACAGATTTTGTGCAACCCTTTACTACAGCATTCAGTAAAGTAAGTCAGGTAAGCCCAGTGTCACATGGTACGTGCAGCACCTCACCGAATTTGTGTAAGAATACACAGTGATCTGCCCCAGGAGAGTTGTGTGTGTGCTGGCTGATTTGGGAGTTTTCAATTGCATGGTTTCACCCAGATTTTCCTTCAGCAGATCTCCTGCTCTTTGTATTTAAAGTGCCTTAATTGTAGGTATGAGGCTGGGAGAAGCAAGAGCTCTGGTCAGATGGACAATGGGCTCTGAAAGAGTTCTATAACTCCCCAGCTTACATTTCGTGCCTCCTCCTGAAGGCCAGTCCTGTGCTAATTCTGGGAACAATGAGCTGGTTGCTGCTTCCCACTTCTGTCTCCTCAGAGCAGTTCACCAAGAGACCTCCTGACACAGCAGGAAATAACACTGTGGAAGATGTATGGCTATATGGTATTTCCTAATCAATATGGTAAAGAAGCAGGAATTTTTTTCACCTTTAATTTGCTTTGAATTGAGGCTTTATTTCTCTTGCCAAGAATTTTATCTCCAGAGCAGACAAATGTGAAGGCTGAAACAGTTTTCAGCCTGCAGGTTGAAGGGTACCAGTATCAACAGCAGGAAACAAATAGACCCCAGAGAAGGGCAGGGCTGGAGGAGCTGCAAACTGAGGGCAGAGCTCTGACATTTGCTGCTCTCTTAGAGCACTTCAGCTGTTTATGAAGAGCTTGGGCTGAAAGCTGCTGCCTGTGAGAGCACAGCAGCATCGCTAATGATGTTCAGGAGCATTGTGGTCAGCCTTTCTCTGAGAGCAGGGAAATACCCTGAGTGCTCCTTTCTTCTTCCCAGAGATGGTTGCCATTTCTCACAATGGCAAATACCATCCTATCTATTAATATCTAAATTACAAAGGAAGTTCTAAATTATAAAGGGCTTCTTACCCCATACAGTATCTAACTGGTCATGGTGAGAATAACAGCTAATGTTTTCTTGTTCTGCACAAATCATTTTTAGTGTTTGGTATACAAAGTTCCAGGCTTCAGGGAATGCCAGGTTCACAGTGCCCCCTCTAGCCATTAATACTTCCTTCCAAAATTTATTATTCTTTAATCTCTCCCATAACATACGAGTTAGAGTCCCTAGTGGAAATTCCTCATTTTCCTGCATATATCATTTCAGTTTTTGAAATTCTACAGTACTGCCATATTGTAAGATTAATATACCACCCTTCTTATTCCTTTGAGCAAGAACCGGAACTTCACATTGCCAAAAATCTTTTTTTAACTATTCTGAGTCAAATTTCCATTTTTATGGGGTTAGCAGTAAGTCTTTTGCTTTGGGTGACTGCTGCAATTTATGATCATGCTTTAAAGAAAGGTAAAGCTTGCCCTCCCTGTAGGTACCCACTGTTTTGTAAGTGAAGAAAGTAGGATATTGGGAGGGGAACATGAAGACTTCTGGAACTCCAGAGGGCTTCCCTTAACATTATTCAAAAGCTGTCTGAGAAAGCAAAGAAGGGCACTGGAAAGGATTTTGTCAGTTGTTCCTTGCAAGGCAGTCTGAGCTGGTTGGATGCTTTTAAAGTCTAAGCCAGTTCCTTTGGTGATCATCTGTTAGTGCTCTAAGAGAACCCTGTTAATGCAAAACAATAGATAAAAAATAGTTTATGGTTATTTTCAAATGCTGAAATGTATCTACTTTGAAGTCTACTCCTGGAAATGGAGTATCTAAGTGCACACCACTTCAGCTTGACTTCTCTCTAGATGCCTCTTTCAGGCTTTGTGCATTCTGTGCACCTCTGTGCACTGACCAGCCAGGCAAGAATCAAAGGAATCAAACATTAAGGAACACTTAGAAAAATGTGTGTGTAGTTAGTGGAGTCAGGCTCTTGTATTTTAGTCACCAAATGGGTGGGAAAGAGACTGCTCAGTTCCAGAAGGGGTGAGCCTACAGTCACGGCT